GGGGTGGGGCGCGGGGGCTGTTTCACCGCATGGAGCAGCCCCCAGGAGTTTGGGACAGGAAGTGAGGGAGCCTCCAGTGGACAGTGCAGAGGGCTGGTGTTTAGGGCCGGGGGGAGCTGGGTTTCGCACACCGTGAGACACAGACAGCAGGGCCCGGGGTGCCCCGTGTGACGGGGGGGAATTAAGCGTCGGGAGGCAAAGGGGGCCCACAGGCTGAGAAGCCAGGTGGGGGTTTTCCTGCACCACTTGACTAGGGGAAAACCACCGAGAAAAACATACACTGGGAGTTGGCCAGGAGGCTGGGGTTCCCCACCCGCAGGGGGTCTGCACCGGGCGCTGGCAGGGCAGGGAGATGGCAGCAGAGCCCCCTCTTTATACAGTCTCCAGCCTGAATTCCAGCCCTCCTGCGCCCTCCAGAGGCCCCGGCCCCACTTCACCAGCACCCCTGGCGCACAGCCACAGCCCTCTGCCGGGTAAGTGGGGTGGGAAACTGAGGCACGAGGCTGAGTTCCGATTTCAGTGCCCCAGGATCAATCTGGAGTCACCCCTGGGTCAGACAGGAATCCCTCACTTTATACAGTCTCCAGCCTGAATTCCAGCCCTCCTGCGCCCTCCAGAGGCCCCGGCCCCACTTCACCAGCACCCCTGGCGCACAGCCACAGCCCTCTGCCGGGTAAGTGGGGTGGGAAACTGAGGCACGAGGCTGAGTTCCGATTTCAGTGCCCCAGGATCAATCTGGAGTCACCCCTGGGTCAGACAGGAATCCCTCACCCAATACTGGGCATGCGGGGACCCCTCCCCCGGTGCTGAGTCTCACAGCTCCTCTGGGGTGAGGGGCAGGAGCTGGGTATTTGGGGACCCCTCCCCCGACACTTTGTCACAGCTTCTCTGGGGTGAGGGGCGGGGCTGTTTTAACACCACAGATCAGCACCCCAAGAGTTTGGGACAGGAATTGACAGTCCAGTTGGAATCACAGGGAGTACATACTAAATAGGGAGGTCAAATAGGACCTCCCCCCCCCCCCCCGCTGGGGATTGGCCAGGAGGGCGGGGTTCCTACCCCCCATCTCGGTCAGGGGTCTGGCAGAGCTGGGAAGTGGGGGTAGGGGAGTGGCCGGAAAACCGAGCTGGGAGTTTTCTGGCATCACATTTAAACCCTCCCCTCCCCTTCATACAGGTGTCAGCCCGGATTCGAGCCCCAGACCCCACACTGGAGGCAGCCCCACCTCCCCAGCCGCCCCCATGCACAGCGACAGCCCTCTGCCGGGTAAGTGATGTGGGGAAACTGAGGCGCGGGGCTGGGTTCAGATCTCAACTCCTCCAGGGCCAATCCGGAGTCACTCTGATTGCAATGGGGACAGAGTGAGGTCTGATCTTAACTCACACATCCCCTTCCTGTCTCTAGCAGCCCCGGCCACGCCCCGGCACCCGGATTTCACCCAGGGCAACCTCGTCCGTCTGGGCCTCGGCGCCGGAGTCCTGCTGGCCCTGGCGCTGGGGCTGGCCACGTCCTGCTGTAGCTGGGAGAGAGGGGGAACCCCCCTGCCTCAC